CTGCCTAAATAACGAAATAATGAAAAAACAGTGTCTTTTCATATTTGATATCAGTTTCAAAATTAAATAACATATTATCAGTTTTTGGTGGTAAATTGAAAAATGAAAGAACGAGTGATGCAAGGATTCATATGGCTCTCAATATTTTGCACTTCTGAATAAGATAACTGTTAGTGTTATTTTCCTGTTCACAGGTTTTGAATTTACAAGTTTATAGTGAACATTTAATAGTGAACAATATGTAATGTTTCAAATGAACTTAAATATGTTTCATCTTCAAGAAAGCTTCTTTTCCAGACAGACTTTTATTCATTTTATGTGGTCTTCAAATATGAAAGGCAGAGTGATTCAGGTTTTTTTTTTTTTTTGGGTTTTTTTTGTCATGTCAGGAGAATCCTGTTGTGAGAGAATGGGCCATCTGCAAGGACGTTGCCCAGGGGACGCCCGGATGATTTTTTGATGTTTTATCATCCTTGTGGGAGGCTTCTCTCATGTCCCCGCATGAGGAGCTGGAGCTGATAGAGGGAGCTCATCCGCCTCTCCCCGGATTCGAACCTGCGACCTGTCGGTCTTTAACCCACTGCGCCACCAGGGGCTCCAGGTGATTCAGATAATATTTCTGCATATGAGCCCTTGTACAGTTAAAAAAAATTGAGAGAAATGCATAATTTTTGAAATAATAAAGCATAAGTTCTACTGTTTCACATACTGTTTCACATGTTGTAAATATATACATTTTAGTTGGATAAATGAGTTAAAAGAGTAACTTCTTCCTATATTGAAAGATTTTAACATAGGAATTACTTTTAACAAGCCTGTGCTGCTGCTATTATTATTATTATTATTATTATTATTATTATTATTATTAGGTGATCCTTTTTAGGAGCCATGTATATGCGGAGAGGTGAGATATAAATTATATGAACATTGTGTGCATGGCAGAGAAGGGGTCATATTAAGCCACAGGATCCAAACGTTTTGCAAAGAAGGTCAGATTTGGTGAGGTGAAAATGTATGGGGGCCTACCATTCGGCCAGACATTCTCTGAACCATTAACATTAAATGTAAATGCACTATTTTATGACATTATTTATTTCAAGTGGCATACTTTTCATTTCTTCACACAGAACACAAATAAATCTAAGCACGTTTTTACCTAAATCTGCCTTTGATATTTGAAGACCACATAAAATGAAGGAAAAGTTTGTCTGGAAAATTGATAGAAAAATCTATCAATATAGAAAGAAATTACTCTTTTAACTCATTTATCCAACTATATGTGTGTGTGTGCGCGCACACACACACACACATACATACAACAGTTGGAAAAGGTGAAATAGAACTTATGCTTTATTACTGCAAAAATTATGGATTTCTCTCCCTTTTTTCTTAACTAAACAAGGGTTCACATGCAGAAATTCCATTTATGCTCTGTTCTACTCTAGAAAATGTAGCAACTGTACACATACAAAAGAACATGAATGCAGTCAAGCCAAATAGGATACCCTTTATGTGGAAAGCCTCTATGTGAACACTGCTTTGTTTCCCACTGCAAGCCTAGTGTGGGCATAGGCTCCTGACCTGTGACCACCATCTGTTCTCACAACTTTGCAGTCTCCCATATCAAGTCTGAAAGCAGGAGTACTAAAACCAAGGTGAGAATTAAATATTTATTTTTCCCTTCTTCACATTGTTTTCTTTTGGACAGACATTTGTTACTAATGTTTTTGCATGTTTGGGAGAACTCGCAGATATGCAGAACCCCCCCCCCCCCCCCCCGCCAAATCACCCCATGAAAACAATGCATGCTCAATTGACCCAAAAAGCAAACCATGAAGATGAGAATCATTTTCATCATGGAGAGAGGAAAGAAAAGAATCTGGGGGAAAAAAGAAAGGCAGTGGAAAAAGCATCTAAGAGTGTACAATATTTTGGAATAAGAAACAGGTTAGGAAGTGTGTGCCATGAGAGTAGGATCTTCCCCACACCCCAGATTGCAATAAACTCTTCAGAGCTCTAGACCTTTAAATCACTGCAGGGGAAAAGTGCTTTGTCATTAAATTACGACTCAGATTTGGAGCTATGAGGTGTGATTCTATTTTTAGAAGCCTAAATGTTCAATGCCAAAAAAGCATCTTTTATAGCTTTGGCTAATACTCAACCCATGGCATCTACAGTACAGGTGCACCTCAGATGTGTTCCTGGGCATGATTTATTTAGCAAAACGTTTTGTAAAAGAGGCAGAAATAACATGGAAAGAAAAGGGCAAGTTCCTATAACATGGTGATTGTAGATGCGGAGGCAGTTCAGCATGTTTCCAAAAAGTCTTTATTCAAAACTAATTATCCATATTAGATGACCTTTGTAAGTATACAACAACATTGTAAACCTTCTAGAGACCATTGTGAAGGCTTCTTTCACAATACATGTAGGAATTGGGTTTTTCCCCACTTATTAGCTTGCACTTTTCCTATACTATCCATAGAAAATGATGCCTGCCCCCACACCATTTTTCCTCTTTTGCTGTTCCTTGTATGGTCAATAAGGGATTCTAGAGGCACCTAATCTTTACTCTCCCGGTTGTAGACAGATACACCATGATTGGCTAGATGAGAATATTGCTTTTTAACACCAGAGGTTTTGCCTATTACAGTTTACTGTAGACAACCTGATTCAAAATATCCTTCACCATCCTCCCAAGGTAAAAAACTTCCAGCTAGACAGAAGAAGAGTCAGGATCAGAAGACTTTAAAAGTTTTTGTTAAAAGATGCTTCTTTGTCAAATGCTTTGTTAATTAGGGTATGCTTATACTGTCTAATCTGGTTTACTATGATGGATTTTACAAAGACTTTCCTTTGAAGATGGTTCAGAAAGTACTATAATGATAACAAAATACCATATTGAGTTTACCAAGTGGGATTGTGCAGACATATGATATACATCACAGCAATTATAAACCAAACTTACTGGTTCTCAGGCTTTTTCCAAATCAATACAACTTGTTGATCTTAACTTTTCATATTATTAATACCAGTAGCCTTGGGCTAATGCAGGAATGGAAAAAGTGTGCCCTCTAGGCCATATGTGTCCCCTGAACCCAACTTTTGTGACCTCCCTCCTACCTCTTTGCTATTTTTCTCCATGCATATAAAAAGAATTCTACAAAACAAACCTTCACAGAGTGTAGGCATTTTTTGTCCTAAAATTGCTCAGAGAGCACCCCCAAATGCACAAAAACACGCAAAAAAATAGTCTCATCCCACTTGCACAAACATCCAAGATCTTCCTACACTATGTGGCACAAGAAGAGTGGCAGATTTACTTCTTGGGACTGTTTGGAGATCAGCACAGGAACACAGAGATGTTGCTTCTTGTAGAAGTAGTGCAGCTTGTGGGAGAGGCTGAGGAGAAGACTTGACCTCTAGGCCCCGGCACCCACACAATTTACACCTTTGCACTAAGTTTAGCAATACATGCAAAATGCCCCACTTCACTCTAACACAGCTGAAAAGTAAAAAAAAAAAAGGAAAGGTTTCGGGATTTTTTTCAATTGACCATGCTTCTCTGTTATATTAGAAGCCAGAATGTGGTCAGTTTTGGCAATGATTCAGAAAAACATGCCAGGATAAGATACTATGGTTTGAAGCAACCTTGTTTCTCCAAACCACAGTTAAAGGTAATCACATTTTGTGCAAGTGCATATCTGATAAGAAATAATGGTTAGCTGAAAACCCTAGCAATCGGTTCAAATCTCTTCCAGGCTAGAGCTGGATAGGGAGGAGCAAGCTCACAAGCCCAAAGTTAATTTACATTATGCCAGGTTTTGATTTTAGTTTTGATTTTATATTCAGGCACTGCTATAGCCTCCTCTTACATGTACCTGTCCAGAGATTGAGATGCTTTTCTTCTGGTCTTCCAAGGCCTTTCTTGGCACTATGTATATTGCCTTAGTATCAAAACCGTTTTAAAAATATTATTATTCATTCAGACATTTCAACTGCAGTGCTTATACCCAAGTTTTTAGTCTTACTCTTAGCTGTGTACTTGTATATCTTGAGCAATGATTTCAATTTTTTGTTTGAGTCATTATGGGGAGTACTGGTGAAAAATCATTTGAATTAATAAGAATCAAGCCATGCAAGCCAGTGTAAAATCTACAGTTGAAAATTGTAAAGGAGATAAAAAATTCCTTTTAAGATTGGTCCATTTAGACCAATATTGTCATCTCTGTTAGCACTATGGGGAAAGGAATTGCCCAAACATGTACTTTGCCACTTCTGTTCAACATAAATTATTAAAATACTGAGTTCAAGAAAATGCCATAAAAACATTAGGGTCAGTGTCATGGAAGAATAGTAGAAATTGCTTATTCACAGCACAATTCCACAAAAACACAGCTAGACAGTGACAAAAAATTGTCGAGCTATCACAACCAGTGCAAACCAATTACTTCTCTAACTGTTCAAACTAAAATCTCCATCAGCTCTGTCCAGCTAGCAAAAAAAAAAAAAAAAAGATAGGAGGGGCACAAGTTAAGTATTTTCAGTACAATACACTGCACCTTTGTTTCCTGCAAGATTAGGCAAGGCTGGCATCAGGTGTCACAGCTGAATCAACTCCTCATTACTGGAAGAAAGTGTATCCATGGTGGCAGGTGTGCTTACCTGAACTATTCTGGCTCTAATTCCAAATACAAAGTGCAGAGGCAGAGAGACAGAAACAAAGAAGCAGTCAGACACCAATGATTTCCAATAAGTGTACTGCAGTTTAATTGAGATGTTGTGTTCTACTAATTGAGTGTTTAATTTTTTAAGGAAAAGCACACAGGTAGCATATGAAAGAAAAACAGTTGCTCACATTTAATGTGCTAATGCAAGTTAGCAATAAAATGGGAACACGCCATGGGAAACTGAATACATTTTCCTATAGCCATCCCAGCCAGAATGGAAGTGAAATGGAGAGAAACTGAGATTAAAACCCTTTTGAGAGAAGTACTTACACCTCCCGTAGGTTTGGCAGCTTCGCAAATGCAGAAGGATCAATCTCTGTCAACTTGTTGTGGCTCAGGTTTCTGTTAAAAATAAGAGACAGTGGGATCAGCATGAGACAGGCACTGCACTCAGCAGAATTTGGCAGTCTTAATTATTAGGAGACTGCACTGCAAGATAATCAGCATTTTATAAGGAGAATTATATAATAAGTTTGAGTGCAAAAAGAAAATAAAAAACATATATTAATACATGTAACACAAAGTTTAATACAGACACATGATGTTCGTATATTGGTCCTTAGAGAAACTGAAGTCAACTGTTACATATTTTATAATCTAAATATTCAAGCATAATTATATATAGGTTTTTAAAATGTCCTAGGGTGTTTCTGCACCACACAGTTGTGTCAATTTTATATTATCACAACTGTCATGGCTCCATCGTATATCCTGGGATTTGTAATTTAAAATCCTCTGCTTGGGAGCTCTAGTGTTTATGCACAGATCATTTTAAGTACTTCACCAAACTCTAAATCCCATGGTTCTATACAATAGAGTCATGGCAATTAAAGTGGTATGAAACGAATTTAAGTGCATAGCGCAGAAACACATTGGGTATCTTAAGCATCTATTTGTACTTTCAGAAGTCAAAATATGTAGGCCTAAATTAAATTGCCAATTCTAACTTCAATAGATTCGTTGAATTATGGGAAGTTGGGAAAGTGTATACTTATGTAAGTTCCATTAATTCAATGGGTCTACTCTTTTTGACAGTAGCTACCCAACTGGAATAGGTGAAATCCTTGCTTTTTTACTTTATACTTTGTCCATTATCTGGGCATCTTATTTTCCCAAGGTTTCATAACAGTTTGTTGGTGTTGCTGCAACAGACCAATGTGACCACTGCTTTGAAAAGCCAAACTCCTAAGAACCTGGGATTAGACAAACAAGCCAAAAGAAACATTAAGAGATAAACAATGAAACTAGTTACCTTCAGAACCTTATCAACTAAGAAACTGCCATGTTGATCCACATAATGATACAAAGAAAGCCGAAGTAATATATTTTATCAGCCCTAGTAGTTACAACCTCAGCTATACTTTGTCTTTCTGCCTTCACAAAGATATCTTATCAAGCATGACATACAAACACATCTCAAATGCACTGCAGTGTTGTTTTTAAAGTACAAAAACAAGATTTCCCTTCTAAAATGAGCCTCCATTTGACATAAAAATACACTACACCACCCAGCACATGTTAGTCAGTTGCCTTAGAAACTAGACTTATAATCGCGTGCCTAACATGAGGCTTTTGGCTGCTCCTTTTGTGGTCCCCAAGACCAGTGTGGAACTGCTCTTTCTCCCCTTCAGCCCCACTGCCCCCAGGCTTTCAAAACTGCTGCTTGATCCATGTTACCATAACTGATGAACAAATATCTCAAAGGAGAATGTTGGATTTTGGAGCACACTATTGTTATTATTCTAGGAAGAGCACAAATATGTGAAGCATGTAAGGGGCACATAAGTAGTCTGTGTCTGTGAACACACATGCTGAGTTTTTCCAGAAGCGTGTGTACATATGACATTGTGCATATACCTGTGTCTTCTAGCTCTCCAGCCAATAATGAATAGAGCCCTGATGTCTAAAAAGTAGGCATCTGTGCTAGGACAATGCCCGATTTCAGGACTGAAGTTGGCCACAATGATGTGCTCTGGGTGAACCCAAAGTGACTAGAAGTCATTTCTAGTTGGCATCTACATTTATTTTCGAAGGGATAGTGATTTTTTAGGTTAGACTTTTTATTTACTATTTTGACAGACACAGCTGCTTAAATTAGCTAATTCGCTGCTCTTACTTAGCACTGTGAGTTTTGCTATTTGTTGTCAAGTCAGCTTATGGCAGCCATGGATACAGCTACAAAGACAGGAAAGTCCAGGGTTGGTACTTCACAAGCCCTAGGGGCAGCTTCATTGTCCATTTCCATTCCATTGCAGTGGAAGGATGAAGTCCTGACCTTCCAGTGGGCCCATATCTGTTCAGTCCTGATAGATGGCCAGTTGGCCACCCTTACCTTAGTGGATGTGACTGCTGCAGCAGACACAGAGCTCCAAAGAGCTCCTGGCCATTTTGGCTATAATTACTCTCTAGCAGAAAGACAGTTTTCAACATTTTACATATCTCTAAGCACAGTATGCTCTGCTATTATTGGCAATAAAACTGTAGCATTTATCAAACAGATATTAACTCAGACCTACTTCCAAAATGGGGAAAAACTGAAAGTATAAGCTCTATAATCAAGATATGGACCTTTGAAAATGATCCTCTAAGCTTCAGCTCTCCTCTTGCATTTGAAATATGGGGATAATAATTCTATCTCTACCTCAGTTGAAATTACTAAGATGAATTGCTAGGCTTATACTGTATTACACTGTGAAATATGGGCTCAGATTTATGCTTCATTTATGACAGTAAACATATCCAATTGGTAAAATGGAAATAATACCAACTCAACTAAAAATAATTCTTACAAAATGAGTAAATTACAAAGTATTTCAGTACAATTCTCCATTGACTTGACCCTGCATGAAGCCGTATGATTTTTCACACATTTAAAAGCAACTAGTGCATTACATACAAGGTGCTCCCAGATAACTGTACATTCATTTCTTACAAATAAAAGGATCCATAACACAAAGCATGATCAGTGTTTTATTCACCATGCTGAAGGTTTTGATTAGCCTGCAAACATTTACCTGTCACTGCACATTTCAGCACACTGTGTGCAAAACGTTTTGGCACCTTTTACTAATAGGCAGAAGAGTGACAGCAAAAGAGGACAGGAAGAAAGCCTAGGAATGCCTGTTAATGCCAAATGCGGCTTTCATTAAACACTTTGTCAGCCTTTGTCCTAACACAACTTTTCACCGTTGCATACACAAAAGGAACCAAGAGCCTTGAACAATCAAAATCTTGCAATAGAAATTCCTCTGGCTAATCTGTCGAAAGATAGCTGCCTAGTCTACAGCCTACTGAATAGGCACCCCGCCCGAAACCAAGAAATTTCTGCAGATGCTTTAGCATGGCAAAACAGAGCACCATGCACACATGACTGGACCTGAATAGGGAAAAGAAAGCCACCGAGTTGCTTATGAAGGGCCAGTATGCAGTGGAAAACAAGCAAGGACTCTTTTCTCATAAAAAAGTACAGATTTTCAATAGACCACAGTTGAATTTCAACCAGTTCACAGTCTAAGGGGGCTTTGATGAATCTACTTCCCCCACTTCACTGCAGGATACAGGCTGAAACAGGAAGCCATAGGACTCTGGGATCAATTTCCCAAACTATTTCCAAAAGTGAGTGCATCTTTGGGGAAATGGATGCGACAAGAGGCTTCCACAGATTTTTTTTTCTTAAAATTCAATGAACAGGATTCCGAGAACAGAATCCTGCTGACTGGGATGGATGTACATGTTACATTAATTACCCATTCAGAAAGTTAGAGATTAGATTTGACATAGTGCAAACAACAACATTACTTTTAGTTCATGACTTATGTGAGCAATCAGGAGATCACATCATACACCATTACTTGCAAAAGTATAGCAAACAGCAGCCATTACATTTTGCATTGTGGTCTGGCTTCAGACAATACTTTAAAATATAATAGGTCAATTTTGGAGAATTTGAGCTATTTACCATTTTAATGTAATTTTAAAAATAAAATAGAAAGTTGTATTTATCTACGTAAGAGACAATGTGGTATAGTGGTTTAAGCAACAGATTATGACTCTGGAAATCAGAGTTCAAATCCTTGTCAGCCATGGAAACCCATTAGGTAACCATGGCCAAATAACACTTTTTCAGCATCAGTGGAAGGCAAAGACGCAAAACTTGTGAAGAAAGTCTAGTGACAGGTTAACCTTAAAGTAACCATTAGTAAGAAACAATGTTATGGTACACAAAACAGCAATGAATTATATATTCACACACAGAAAGAGAGAGAGAGAGAGAGAGAGAGAGAGTCCCCAAAGTTATGAACAAGATAAGTTCTGTAGATTTGTTCTTAAGTCATGACAGCTTTGGATAGCACAAGGAAGGGTTAAGACTCCTATAGTGTTTGTTTTGCTGTCTATATCCCTGTTCAGAAGATTTCACCTCACTTTCTGCCTTTTGATAATTGGATTTTGAAAAATCTGGCTTGTTGGAGAAACACCTTTTCTGCATGATACCTCTTTCAGGTCTGAATTTTCCTTCGAAGAAGTAGATTTTTCTCACTTCCTGTTGTCTTAGACCAGTTTGTAACTATGAGTCTTTGTAAGTCAGGTGTCTGCAACTTAGGAACTGCCCACAAGGGCAGGGGGAAGGGAATGGATGGGGGAGGGGAAGATGATCCACATTTACTGCATTTCTAAGTGATCTCCAAACCTATCTTTAGATCAAGTCTCTGCATTGTGGTCTGGCTTCAGACAACCTGAGCTGAAACCCTTGCAAATGACACTGTGTAGTGCTCTGGTTGTAGGTTTGGCTGCCCATCTTCAAAAAGAAGTCAAAAGGACTAAAAAGGTTACTGTACTTTGGGTATAATCATCAAATCCTTGTGGTTGTGTAGGGAAAATGTCAGTAAAGCCAAAGGCAGTAGAAAAGAGGAAGACCATATTACTGATACATAGATCCAATTGAGCACCAGAGCAGAACTGAACTGGATCAGGGCTCTGATTCACAGGGTCACCATAAGTTGAAGCTGACTTGATGGCAAATCAGAACAAATGGGTTGAGAAGATACTGCCAAACAAACAAACCCAGATCTCTAATTTTTTGCTAACAATTTAACTCACTTCAAATAGGCTGTCATTAAATTGCACAAGACAAATGATATTTTATTATGACACACACTCTGCTGCAGAAACCAGTTTAGAGTCAAAAGGCTCCATTGTGCAATAAGCAAAGGCATACACTGACCATGCTTAATGTCCTAGTGCGTAATTGCTGAAACTAAAGTGAAAAATGGTTGTTTCCACTAAATCTGGCCAGCCTAAAGGGAATTGTTTCTATTCACCCATTGATGAGTGGCAAGGTGGAT